TATATATATATATCTATATATATATATATATATATAGAGAGAGAGAGAGAGAGAGAGATAAAGAGATTCACTTACTCCAAGAGTAAATTTACCTACACTTATTATATTCAATAGCTCATATATTTTACATTAACTTTCATTGATGTAATAGTTGAATTAAAAGCTTTTAATAGATAGATCAAGTCTACAAATTTTTAAAAATATTTGATACTTCATTTTATTAATTCAAATCAACGTATAAAATATTTTTATGATTATCCTTCAATTTAAATTAAAGAAATGGAGTATCAAATAGTTTTCAATTTTTTTTTAAATTTGTAAACATGATCAATACGTTAAGAATTTTTAATTTAACAACTAGATCATTAAATTTTGATGTAAATCATGAATTATCGAGTAACGTTACTCTTAAAGTAAATGGATTTATCCTCATATATATATATATATATATATAATTTAAGATTGGAATAGTCAAAGTTTTGTAAATCATTTATTGAAAATTTTATTAGTAAATTGATGTAACATGTGAGAATAAATTTATTAATACACTTGTCATAATTGTAACATTTTTTAAATTTGACGTCTTAGCAATTTTACTTTACACAATTCCGTGTTGGTCAGAATCCTTCGTGAGCAGCCCATAAATCAATACAAGATTTGTCAACGTGTTTTGTCTTCACTTACACATTTTTTGAAATTTTTTCAAAAGGTCACTCATCCCTAAATTATTTCATATCAAGCATGTCTAACTATTAAATTATTAATGAAATACTGAAAAAATAGATACATCTTATTAGTATTGGTAATACAAATTAATTCTCTTAAGTCATCATCAATTGCACAATTTCTCATCTATACAAATTTTGGATTTCTCTCATTCAAATGCATTTGAACAGTTACAATAATAAAATTAATATTTTAGTGATATATTCTTTTTAATATATTACTTTTCTTGTTCTATTTAATTAGGTCTAAGTTATTTATTGTCATTAATTGTAAAGCAAAACTCAATTAAACATGTGTTATTATGTGAATTTTACATAATAATGAAAATAAAATTTAGTAAAAAAAATTAGTCACAAATAATAGAAATTTTACTTCGATAATATACACTTGCATTTAGTGCAAGTCTCATTAATACACATTTATGCATGTTATTGAGGTAAAACTGACTCTGGTTGAAAAACAATACTAACCACACCTAAGAAATTGTACCTAACCTAAGTTTTGTTATATAAATAAATGGAGGTAGTATTAGTTTAACTAAATGAGAAATTAATGGATGTATTGGATTGAAATTTGAAAAGATTTTAAAAGAATGTCTTATTATAAGGAATTTCTCTCTCTCTCTCTCATGTTTTTTTAACTCATATTTTTTCTTCTCTTTTTGTTCATTTCTCTCATTTTCTCTCTCTATTTTTTTCCTATCTTTTCTATTCTTCTATCAATATCTTTTTGTTACATTTTTATCAATCAATATTAATATATAATTTATCAATATTTATTTTAAATTATTAAATGCTTAAAATTAATTTTGAATTATTAAATATTATATTGTTAAGTTATTAAAATTTAAACAAATGTTTATTTTCATATTGAGATATGAAATTTTTAAACATATATTAAAAATATATTTTGACAATTTAACCAGTTATAATAAATCATAAACTTGAACTCGAATTCAATAGTATAATGAGAAAATATAAATGCGTAAAAGACTATATCTAGATAAATATTACTTAAGAGGACATAAATTCACAATCAATTATTTATTAAAAGATTGAAAAAATTATTTATTTTATTTCTATATTTAAACCTTGTCATTTATATGATTTTTATTAATTATATTATTTTTTAAAGAAAAGCATATTCTCCTTTAAAATTTAATAAAATCCTTTCAAATCTTATAATTTCTTAAGATAAAATTTCATTAAAATATATAATAAAATTTTGATTAAATTTTTTTTAAAAAAATATTAAAAGTCGTTACATATCACAAAATCTTTAAGAAAATCTTTAAAATTATAAATTCTTATAAAGCCTATTAAAATTCACAAAACTCATCTATATTAAAAAAAGAAACTTGCGAAATCTCAATCCAACCCTAATTTACATACCATTGAATGTAAGTAGGATTTGTAAAATTAATAATATCATATCACTTGTTAAATTATGGTACATGCACATTCCGCATGCTCATAGGTATCTAATAAGATAAACTAGAGCATGAACCGAAGGATTTGAAAAGTGAAAGAGTTTAAAAGTCAAATCAGTGGTAAGAAAGGCAACAGAAAGTAATAAAGTATATTAATTAAAGTATTCATAAAAATAATATAGAATTTAAGAGTTGTGAAAAGCCCACACTTTAATAGAACTCTATTAAAATTTCTCTTATTATATGTGATTTTTTATGTGAATTTTTCATAAAAATTCGAAGGAAACATTATTTCTATAAATTTTTTTGTGAAATTTTATTTGCAGGTATGCAAAATAAATTCACAGAAAAATTTCCTGCAAAAAAAAATTCGCAGGAAAGTTTCCTGCGAATTTTTTCACAAGAAAATTCTGCAGGAATATTTATTACAAAAAAATTAAATATATTACTATAAATTCTATCAATAATTTTTTAACTTTTAAATGCTCACAATGAATTCATTTGAATAATTTGTTTCCACGCCTTCAACATGTGATACATAATCTTTTAAATTCTAAGATTGTAGATTATAAGCCTAAAACTCAACCATACAAATCAACTTGTAAGGTAAGTGTTGCCCCAACTTATATACTCTTTAATTGCTTTATTTTCAATCGATGTGGGACTTGAAATTTTTTTAAAAATATAAAACTTATAAATTTAAATATTTTTTATTTTTCCTGCGGATTAAAATTGGCAAGAAAATCCGCTGAAAAATTTACCTGCAAAGTTTTCTACCATTTAGTAAACATTACTTGCGAATTTATTTGCAAGAAAATATGCAAGAAACAAAATAAAATTCTTACAATATTTTTCTGCAAATTTTTACCATGGAAAAAAATTTCTATGATCATTAAAATTGTAGCATAATTTGCAAAAATTTCTTGTAGATTATTTTTCATGAAAAATTTGTAAGAAATATCTGTAAATTATTTTTCGTAAATAAATTCGTAAAAAAATTTTGTGAAATTATTATTGCAAGAAAATTCGTAAAAAATTTCTACGAATATTTTTTTACAGGAAAATTCGTAGGAAAATGACACTTTTCTAGTAGTAAAATGATATTAAGGATCATTGGTACAAGAAAAAAAAAAGGGAGAATTTTTCATGATTACACAACGGAATAATGGAAGAAAAAGCTAACTTGAGAACATGGTATAGTGGAGCCATCCTCCATTGTTTGATCCTTCAAAACACCATCCACCTAGCATAGCATTTGTCTCAACCATTGAAATAGAGACGTTACATTGAACCCTTTGAAGGGAGTAGCAATATAATATGAAATAGACCTTGTAAGACAGAATTACATTACGGAAAACAATTGAAGTATATGTCTACATAAAACCACTCTTCCATAACCACCCACCGATTCACTCCAACATTTGTAATACCGCACACAACAAGAAAAACAAATTAAAGAACCTTTAGTACAAATAAAATCTACAATTTCCACCATCAACACCATCCAATTCCACAACAATAATTCTAAAAATTAAATCGTCATACACTGCCATAGAAGATCTTTGATCTTCCACGTATGAACTAAAAGAAAATAAAATTATATTAATTACAAGTAAAATAAAAAAGGAAAGGGCATTGATTATGGAAGAAATTCATTTAATATAGATAAGCCGACATTGACACATATATAACACCAGCAAATATAGCATTTAAGGGAACATTCTTCGTATTCCACCCTAATAACCACACTGTATCAACCGACAACATATCATGTAAGAGCTAGAAGCCTAGAACATAAATAAAGCAAAATAAAAAAAATCATTGAGATTGAGAGAGATCATTATTACATTCAGGTACGTGCTAGGTTCATATCCTTCACCAAATAAGGATATGGAAATAATTAACAAAGTTGAACCCTGACAGATCCCCTCCCACATTGAGATCATTAATATTGTTGTCATTATCATTATTGTATTAGTCTTCTAGAATATAATATCTTGGGATT